ATTTATGTCAAAGAGTGTTCTTCCTATGTTTTCCTCTAAGAGTTTTATAGTATTCGGTCTTACATTTACATCTCCAATCCATTCTGAGGGTATTTTTGTGTATGGTGTTAGGGAGTGTTCTAATTTCATTCTTTTGCATGTAGCTGACCAGATTTCCCAGCACCACTTATTGAAGATACTGTATTTTTCCCTTGTATATCCTTGCCTCCTTTTTCATAGATTAGTTGACCATAGGTGTATGGGTTTATCTCTGGGCTTTCTATCCTGTTCCACTGATCTGTATTTCTGTTTTTGTGCCAGTACTATACTGTCTTGATTACTGTAGCTTTGTAGTATAGTCTGAAGTCAGGGAGTCTGATTCCCCCAGCTCCGTTTTTTTCCCTCAAGACTGCTTTGGCTATTTGGGGTCTTTTGGGTCTCCATACAAATTTTAAGATTTTTTGTTCTAGTTCTGTAAAAAATGCCATGGGTAATTGGATAGGGATTGCAATGAATCTGTAGATTGCTCTGGGTAGTATAGTCATTTTCACAATATTGATTATTCCTATCTAAGAACATGGTATGTCTCTCCACCTGTTTGTATCATCTTTAATTTCTTTCATCAGTGTCTTATACTTTTCTACATACAGGTCTTTTGTCTCCCTAGGTAAGTTTATTCCTAGGTATTTTATTATTTTTGTTGCAGTGGTAAATGTGAGTGTTTCCTTAATTTCTCCTTCAGATTTTTCATCATTAGTGTATAGGAATGCAGGAGATTTTTGTGCATTAATTTTGTATGCTGCAACTTTACCAGATTCATTGATTAGCTCTAGTAGTTTTCTGGTGGCATCTTTAGGATTCTCTATGTATAGTATCATGTCATCTGCAAACAGTGACAGTTTTACTTCTTCTTTTCCAGTTTGGATTCCTTTTATTTCTTTTTCTTCTTTGGTTGCTGTGGCTAGGACTTCCAAAACTATGTTGAATAATAATGGTGAGAGTGGATATCCTTGTCTTGTTCCTGATCTTAGAGGAAATGCTTTGGTTTTTCACCATTGAGAATGATGTTTGCTGTGGGTTTGTCATACATGGCCTTTATTATGTTGAGGTAGGTTCACTCTATGCCCACTTTCTGGCGAGTTTTTATCATAAATGGGCATAGAATTTTGTCAAAAGCTTTCTCTGCATCTATTGAAATGATCATATGGTGTTTCTTCTTCAGTTTGTTAATATGGTCTATCACATTGCTTGATTTGCATATATTGAAGAATCCTTGCATCCCTGGGATAAATCCCACTTAATCATGGTGTATGATCCTTTTAATGTGCTGTTGGATTCTGTTTCCTAGTATTTTGTTGAGGATTTTTGCATCTATATTCATCAGTGATATTGGTCTGTAATTTTCTTTTTTTGTAGTATCTTTGTCTGGTTTTGGTATCAGGGTGATGGTGGCCTCATAGAATGAGTTTGGGAGTGTTCCTTTTTTGTAACTTTTTGGAAGAGTTTGAGAAAGATGGGTGGTAACTCTTCCCTAAATGTTGGATAGAATTCACCTGTGAAGCCATCTAGTCCTGGCACTTTGTTTGTCAGAACATTTTTTAATCACAGTTTCAATTTCTTTACTTGTGATTGGTCTGTTCATATTTTCTGTTTCTTCCTGGTTCAGTCTTGGAAGGTTATACCTTCCTAAGAATTTGTCCATTTCTTCCAGGTTGTCCATTTTATTAGCATAGAGTTGCTTCTAGTAGTCTCTTAGGATGCTTTGTATTTCTGCAGTGTCGGTTGTAACTTCTCCTTTTTCATTTCTAATTTTATTAATTTGAGTCCCCTCCCTGTTTTTCTTGATGAGTCTGGCTAATGGTTTATCAATTTTGTTTATCTTCTCAAAGAACCAGCTTTTAGTTTTATTGATCTTTGCTATTGTTTTCTTTGTTTCTATTTCATTTATTTCTGTCTGATCTTTATGATTTCTTTCCTTCTGCTAAGTTTGGGTTTTGTTTGTTCTTCTTTCTCTAGTTCCTTTAGGTGTAAGGTTAGATTTTTTATTTGATATTTTTCTTGTTTCTTGAGTTAGGCTTGTATTGCTATAAACTTCCCTCTTAGAACTGCTTTTGCTGCATCCAATAGGTTTTGGATCGTTATCTTTTCATTGTAATTTGTCTCTAGGTATTTTTTGATTTCCTCTTTGTTTTCTTTAGTGATCTCTTGGTTATTTAATAACATATTGTTTAGCCTCTATGTGTTTGTGTTTTTTTTATGTTTTCTGCCCTGTAATTCATTTCTAATCTCATAGCATTGTGGTCAGAAAATATGCTTGATATGATTTGAATTTGCTTCAATTTACTGAGGCTTGATTTGTGACCCAGGATGTGATCTATCCTGGAGAATGTTCTGTGTGCACTTGGGAAGAAAGTGTAATCTGCTGTTTTTGGATGGAATGTCCTATAAATATCAATTAAATCTATCTGGTCTATTGTGTCATTTAAAGCTTGTGTTTCCTTATTAATTTTCTGTTTGGATGATCTGTCCATTGGTGTAAGTGAGGTGTTAAAGTCCCCCACTATTTTTGTGTTACTGTCAATTTCCTGTTTTACAGCCGTTAGCAGTTGCCTTATGTGTTGAGGTGCTCCTATCTTGGGTGCATATATATTTATAATTGTTATATCTTCTTCTTGGATTGATCCCTTGATCATTATGTAGTGTCCTTCCTTGTCTCTTGTAACATTCTTTCTTTTAAAGTCTATTTTATCTGATATGAGTATTGCTACTCCAGCGTCCTTTTGATTTCCATTTTCATGGAATATCTTTTTCCATCCCCTCACTTTCAGGCTGTATGTGTCCCTAAGTCTGAAGTGGGTCTCTTGTAGACAGCATATATATGGGTCCTGTTTTTGTATCCATTCAGTGAGCCTGTGTCTTTTGGTTGGAACATTTCATCCATTCACCTTTAAGGTAATTATCACTATGTATGTTCCTATTACCATTTTCTTATGTTATGGGTTTCTTTGTTATGGGTTTGTTTTTCTTTGTTATGGGTTTGTTTTTGCAGGACCTTTTCTTCTCTTGTGTTTCCCACTTAGAGAAGTTCCTTTAGCATTTATTATAGGGCTGGTTTGGTGGCGCTGAATTCTCTTAGCTTTTGCTTGTCTGTAAAGCTTTTGATTTCTTTATCGGATCTGAATGAGATCCTTGCTGGGTAGAGTAATGTTGGTTGTAGGTTCTTCCTTTTCATCACTTTAAATATATCATGCCACTCCCTTCAGGCTTGTAGAGTTTCTGCTGAGAAATCAGCTGTTAACCTTATGGGATTTCCCTTGTATGTTATTTGTCATTTTTCCCTTGTTGCTTTCAATAATTTTTCTTTGTCTTTAATTTTTGCCAGTTTGATTACTGTGTGTCTCGGCATGTTTCTCCTTGGGTTTATCCTGCCTGGGACTCTCTGTGCTTCCTGGACTTGGGTGGCTATTTCCTTTCCCATGTTAGAGAAGTTTTCCACTATAATCTCTTCACATATTTTCTCGGGTTTTTTCTCTCTCTCTTCTCCTTCTGGGACCCCTATAATGTGAATGTTGTTGCATTTAATTTTGTCCCAGAGGTCTCTTAGTCTGTCTTCATTTCTTTTCATTCTTTTCTTCTTTATTCTGTTCTGCAGCAGTGAATTCCACCATTCTGTCTTCCAGGTCACTTATCTGTTCTTCTGGCTCAGTTATTCTGCTATTGATTCCTTCTAGTGTAGTTTTCATTTCAGTTATTGTATTGTTCATCTCTGTTTGTTTGTTCTTTAATTCTTCTGGGTGTTTGTTCTTTAATTCTTCTAGTTCTTTGTTAAACATTTCTTGCATCTTCTCGATCTTTGCCTCCATTCTTTTGCCGAGGTCCTGGAGCATGTTCATTATGATTATTCTGAATTCTTTTTCTGGAAGGTTGCCTGTCTCCACTTCATTTAGTTGTTTTTCTGGGGTTTTATCTTGTTCCTTCATCTGGTGCATAGCCCTGTGCCTTTTCATCTTGTCTATCTTTTTGTGAATGTGTTTTTTGTTCCATAGGCTGCAGGATTGTAGTTATTCTTGCTTGTGCTCTCCGCCCTCTGGTGGATAAGGCTATCTAAGAGGCTTGTGCAGGTTTCCTGATGGGAGAGACTGGTGGTGGGTTGAAGGGAATGTTGCTCTGGTTGGCAGAGCTCAGTAAAACTTTAATCCGCTTGTCTGCTGATGGGCGGGTCTGGGTTCCCTCCCTGTTGGTTGTTTGCCCTGAGGCGACCCAACACTCGAGCCTACAGGCTAATGGCAGTCTCTGGGAGGGCTCACGCCAAGGAGTGCTTCCCAGAACTTCTGCTGCTGGTGTCCTTGTCCTCACGTTGTGCCACAGCCACACCCCACCTCTGTAGGAGACCCTCCAACACTAGCAGGTAGGTCTGGTTCAGTCTCCTGTGAGGTTACTGCTCCTTCCCCTGGGTCCTGATGTGCACACTACTTTGTGGTGTGCCCTCCAAGAGTGGAGTTTCTGTTTTTCCCAGGCCTGTCGAAGTCCTGCAGTCAAATCCCACTAGCTTCAAAGTCTGATTCACTAGAAATTCTTCCTCCCGTTGCCAGACCCCCAGGTTGGGAAGCCTGACATGGCGCTCAGAACCTTCACTCCAGTGGGTGGACTTCTGTGGTATAAGTGTTCTCCCAGTTTGTGAGTCACCCACCCAGCAGTTATGGGATTTGATTTTATTGTGATTGCTCCCCTCCTACCATCTCATTGCGGCTTCTCCTTTGTCTTTGGATGTGGGGTATCTTTTTTGGTGAGTTTCAGTGTCTTCCTGTCAATGATTTTTCAGCAGTCCGTTGTGATTCCAGTCCTCTTGCAAGAGGGAGTGTCCAACCTCTTTTGATCATAGATTGGTATATGTTGTTGTCCCTGGCCACCACCTAGGTTTCTTGATGTTACAGTTTCAATCTTGGGCATTTATTCCTACTGATTACATTTTGAAGCTTGAACAACTGTCTGATATGCCCAAATTTCTTTGTATCTTTCAGGCAAAGACTGCCACCTAAAAATGTTTACTACTACCGCTGCCCGGACCATAGGAAGAATTACGTGATGTCCTTTGCATTTTGTTTTGACCGAGAAGAAGATATTTACCAGTTTGCTTACTGCTACCCATATACGTACACTCGCTTTCAGCATTACCTTGACAGCCTGCAAAAGAGAAACATGGATTACTTCTTCCGGGAGCAGCTGGGTCAGAGTGTGGTAAGGCCCATTCAGAAACGGGAAAGCTGGGGGAGGAGCTTAGCACTGGTTTTTATAGAATGCAAATAATAGATATTGGTGCTTTGTAGACTATATGCTCTGGAAATTTAAAAAAAATCATTGTTTTTTGTGTGTAATATTTTGCTACTATGGCCACCAGGAAGTCGAAGAATAGGATAAGGCAGATGCGTGTCCTTCTGAATGAAGCTGATAAAGCTCTCTAACAAAATACAAAAGTTCTGGTGAATCCCCAGAACCGTGAGATAAAAAGAAGGCTCTACTGGGTGTTACAAAAGGTGTGAAAGCATTTTATGAGTCTAAGCTTACGAGATGAAGAATAAATTTGCTTTTTAGTGAATTTAACTTGACTGCAGTATAGGTTAGCAGGTGGTGTGCAGTATGGTTGTGCTGTCCACAGTGTGTTCTATCTCTGCCATCTATTAGTTCCCCAACCCTTCTTCCTTCCTCAGGTTTAGTTTTCTGGGTCTGGAGATTTCAGTCTTAAATTCTATATTAGTTTCCTATTGCTGACATAACAAATTGCCATGAACTTGGTGGCTCGAAACAACACAAATTTATTATCTTACAGTTCAGGAAAAGTCTGAAATTGGCCTCTTTGGGCTAAAATCTAGATATCAACAGGTCTGTGTTCCTTCTGGAGGCTCTAGGGGAGAATTCATTCCACTACCTCTCCCAATTTCTAGAGGCTGCTTGCATTCCTTGGCTTGTGGTTCCCTTTCAGTCTTCAAAGTCAACATTGACTTATCAAGTCTTTCTCATGCTGCACCACTCTGATGCTGAATCTCCTGCCCTCTTCTTTCACTTATAAGAACACTTGTGATTACATTGAGCTCACACAGATAATCCAGGATAATATATCCATCTCAAGATCTTTAACTAAATCACATCTGTAAAGTCCCTTTTCTCATGTAAGGTAATATATTCACAGGTTCCAAGGATTAGGACTTGGACATTTTGGGAGAAGGGGTGCATTGTTCTGCCTACCACACTTTCCTACTGTCTTTTCCTCTTTTTCTCCCTGCCCATCCCAGGATCTAAAAGTTTCCTTCACATTGGATGCATAGGTTTTGTTCTCTGCGGTCAGAAATACTTCAGTTGCTAGTAAAGAATATCTTCCCTCTACTCTAATCCTCTTCCTAACAGTGCTTCTGATGGGTGCCATGTATATCTGGTGCCTATAGCTTTTGAACTGAGAATTGGGACACATGGTATATTAGTCAGCATGCTAGTAGGAAACAGATGGCAGCCTCACATTAGGATAATTTGAGGAGAGCTTAATAAATGGGCTGTTTACAAGGTGCGGGCACTGTGTACAGAAACCATGGGGTATAGTGCAGTTCCCTGGGGCTAGTAACAGCTCAAAGGGTGTGAAGGGATGAAATGGTTAACAGAACCCAATAGTAGAGAGTCATGCAGTGGGCCATCTTGAGTGGAACAGTGACCTTCAGTTGAGGAAAAATGTTAGCCTGAGATGATCCCACAGGGAGGGAGCTGAGAAAAATAAATACATAGAGCTCATTTTCTTACTTCCCTCTGATCTACTGCTAGGGGTTCCTACTGGCCAACCCAATTGGAAATCAGAGGGCAAGAGAGCCCACTGAAGTAATCCATACAGATAAGTTTCCCTGAACAAAGAAAATGATGGAGAAGGGCAGAGAGTGGTTGTAGAGAGCCAAATAGAACATATTAGTCACACATGGTCTGATCAACAATGTATTACTGGAAACAGTAGATTATTTCAGATGGGACTGGTGGAGAAATCCTGAGACGAATGTTTGCCAGACATATGACTTATGATATAAATTAAGAGAGAAAGAGTTTCATTCAATACTTGTGACTTTTTAAGTGTGGGATCTGTTCATTTCATTCTTGTGTCCACTGCAGCCCTCTCTTAGATTTATGCCAGGCAGAATGTAGGTGTACATTGAATGGCTATGGAGTAAATTATTGAATGAATGAAAGAATGAATTAAAATATATCTAGAGACAATGTGAAGAGCTAAGAGCATCAGAAAGCTGATAGGAGGAATAATAGGATAAGTTAAGCTTCCAATAACTAATATACAAAATACATACCTAAAATAACAGCTCATTAAATGAGATAGAAGTTTATTTCTCTTCCATATATAAATCTAGATGTAGGCAATCCAGAGCTGATAGTGTGGCTCTGCTCCTTGAAACTCTTACGGAGTCAAGTTCTTCCAGCTTTCAGCCCTGCCATCCCTGGGATGTGGCTCTCAAACTCAATGTCAAATGTGGAATTCTGTCACATCCATGTTCCAGGCAGCAAGATTAAGAAAGTAGGCGGAGAAGGGAGAAGATACAGTGTTGTGGCACTTTCACGTTTATCCCATTAGATAGAACTCATATCCACACTTAACTAAAAGAAGGGTGAGAAATGAAGTCTTCATTCTGGGTGACCATGTTTCTAGCTAAAAATTAGTAGTCCTATAGATATGGAGGTGAATTAATATTGAAGGACATCCTGAAGTCTCTGCCATAAGAAGCTTGAATTATGTGTCCAGCTCTAATACCAAACTACTCATATGACCTTGAATGTTACTTCCCTTTTCTGGGGACAAGTTTTTCATCTATAAAATGAGAAAGTTGAAGTTGATAGGGGTTTTTAAATTATTCTTTGAGGAATTCCTCAGTTAGAATAAAATAATTTGAGACCGCTGTCCTACTTCAGACCCTGTGAGGGGTACTGTAGGGATATATAATGGAGTATACAAGTCATGGTGTACTTCCAGAAATGTATTCCATACCAGAGGAAATAAGACATTTAAAAAATATATATTATGTTTTTTAAAGTATATAATTAAGGATCCCATGAGTTGTTTAAAGAATTTATGGTCAGACTAAACACCATGGAGAAGATGGGCTTTACGCCGAGTCTTGAAAGATGGGTAGGATTACTGAATACAGAGTTGGCGAGAAGGTAGCCCAGAGAGCAAGAAACAGCCTGAGTCACTGCATGATGATAGTTGGTCAGAAGTCTGGTTTGATTGGAATAGGGAACCTTCCTACTGGAAGATAAGGATAGACAGGAAGATTAGGACCAAACTCTGAAAAACCTTGATTGTCATATTAAAGAATTACAGCTGTATCCTTTATTCAGATTCAACACACAGACACTAGGTCAGGCACTTTATATGTACTGTCTTACTTGTTTCTCACAACAGCTTTGTGGGGTAGGCAGAATTATCCCAGTTTGGGGATAAATAATCTAAGGCTAATAAGTTACTTGGCTAAAGCTACATGGCTAGTTCAGGACTAGGCCAATATTTAAACCCATGGCTTCTAATGCTGTGCCCTGGCACTTTGATGGACTCATTGCTCCTTTCCACATTGGACCTACTAAAATCAGTAGTAGATTTTGAGAAAGGGATTATACCTTATCCAAAGCTACATCTTAAGAAAGTAAAGTTAGTGGAAGTGCAGGGTGTACCTCTGCTGGCTAAACCAGATGAGGGGAGCTCTGTGGGTTGGCTCCATCCCCCTGATCTGGGTCTCGAAGCAGATACCAGAGACATTAAGGCCTTCTGGCGTACTCTTGCAGACAGGACAGTTCTTGGTTACCAGGGCGTTTGATATGGCTTGTGACTGAAGCCACCACTATAATTAGTTAATCCCTACTCCAATTTGGAGGGAGGATAATTACAAGTAGGAAGGCTAAACATGTCAACAGACAATTCTTAGAGAGAGCAGGCAGGAAGCAAGATTTTGAATTTCTAGTGCTGGAACTATTAATCACCATGGGCATAGCTGCTATTGCTACTAATTATATCATCCAAAATGGCATTTTATTTGGTTACTTACCAGTGGCCCTCTCTAACACCAGCAAACAAAATCCCTTTGTGCATACATCAAAGCCACACTCTGGCATTTAAGTTAAATACATCATAGGAAAGATCTTTATTTTCTTGTTGTTTTAACACCTTTATTGAGGTATAATTTACATACTATAACATTAACCCATTGTAAGGGTACAATTCTCTGATTTTTAGTAAGTGTATAGAGTTTTACAGCTATCACCGCAATCTAATTTTAGAACATTTCATCATCCCCAGAAGTTCCCTTGTAAATCCCCACTCCCACTCCCAGCCCTAGGCAACTGTTCGTCTGTTCCCCGACCCTGTGAGTGTGCCATTTCTGAACGTTTCCTGTAGGTGGAATCATGCACTATTTAGTCGTCTTTTGCATTTAGCACCTTTCACACAGCATTACATCTTTGTGGTTCATTCATGTTGTAGCATCCATCAGCAGTCCATTCATTTTTAGTGCTGAATAGTATTCCATTGAAAACATATACCACACTTTCTTTTTCTGTTCTCCAGCTGATGGACATTTGGATTGTTTCCAGTTTGGGGCTATTATGAATAATGCTATTATGAACATTCATGTGCATATCTTTGAGTAGACATGTGATCACATCTCTCTTGGGTAGATTTCAGGGAATGTAATCATTGGGTCCTATAAGTTCACATTCAACTTAAAAAAAACAAAAACCAAAAAACGTGCCAAGCTGCATTCCAAGTTAGTGCCATTTTGCATTCCTACCAACAAGGTAGGAGAGAGGGTTGTAGTTTCTCCATGTGCTTGCTAACACTTGGAATTACCTATATTTTTCATTACAGCTATTTTAGTGGGTATGTAGTGAAATCTCATTGTGGTTTTATTTTGTGCTGCCCTAGTAACTAGTTATGTTGATTATCTTATAATGTGCTTATTTGCCATTCATATATCTTCTCTGCTGAAGCGTTAGTTTAAACCTTTTATCCATTTATTTAAAAATTGGGTTGTGTTCTTATAATGAGTTTTGAGAGTTCTTTATTCTGAATGCAAGTCCTTTGTCAGATTCATGCTTTGCAAAATCCCCCCCTAATCTATACCTTTAATCTATACCTTATACCTATACCTTAATCTATACCTTTTCATTCTCTTAACCATGACTTTTGAGGAATAGAAGTTTTTAAT